ATATAGATTATCATCAGGTTTAGATTTTTTTAACTTGAACTGCACATTATACTACGATAAACGTGTTGAAAGACCAGGTAAGAGACTTGATTAGTTGTATGAGCAATAAAAAGGCTAACTTGTTAGCAGCTAAAGTTGCCCATGTAGCAGGTTTATCTGTCTTATTTACATTCACCCCCACAACTGAAAGTGTGTTCAGCAAAACGTGTTGCGGCTCGAGCTTTGGACCTTACGATACGCAACCCAACACGCTAACAACTAGGCTATGGTGGACCTAATTTTGTGTTAAATTAAACATATGTTTCATCATGAGTATATTTATATATACCTGGAAATAACAGGTCACAATAGCCAGGCTTACTGATTGTACGAAAATGTATTTTTATTATTAATTGGTTGACTACAGGGGTTTTTCAAAAAATTAACGTTGAAGGCGAATATTGATCAGATTGATTACAATTATACAAATCAGTATTGTACTCCACAAATAGAAAAATGTTTCTTCTCGATTATTTGATGGTACATAAAGCCACTGATTTTTACATTTCCTATTACTTAAAATCCGCACATCAAAAGTTACTTTCTGCTTAGATCCCCAGGGGACAGCAGAACTTTGAGACATCCTGCAAAGTGATATTTGTCCCTCTCCAGCTAGTAATTCCTTTGGTAAGAAGGTCTTGGACCTCTTTGTGGGAGAAGCCAAGTTTCATCAAAATCTTTATAAGAAGTTCCAAAAAAGAAGGATCAGTTTTAGCTTTGTTCACAAATTCCTCAAACTTTATCCACACTCTGGGAGAGTTGACTGAACCAGGGTTAATAGACTGCACGTGCTTAATATCCAGGAAAGTTGTGTTGTTGTTGTTTTCTTCAATTACAGGCACAATAGCAGCTTTTTCTCCTGGAAGACAGAACAGGAGAAAATTGTAGTTAGTGGTCGTGAAAATACAGCGTGCAAAAAAAAATGGGGGGGGCTATTACTTTGCTAAATCTGTATGATATAAATGGGGTTTCATTTATACTTCTAATTACTTTCAACAACCATTTTTTTGGGGGGGGAAGTGCTTGAAAATATAGAACTCCGTACAGTGTACATTCCTTACCTGTGATAGACGCCGTTTCTACAAGTAGTACGATCCCCACGGAAAACAACAACAATGTGGTTGTAAAAGTCGCTGCCATCCTCGTTGGCTGTATCCCTTCGGTGGAAAACAAGAACGTTTTGGAGCTATAACACGTAAAGAAGCATGTTATAAAAATCTGTTAAAACGTATATTCAAATATATTTCCAAGCAAGCACTTTACAGTAAGCATAGAAATGGACTAATCTCAGGGATGGATAAAAAATTATAGCCTCACCTCTCCCTGTTCATTAGTTATACGTACTTACACGTTTACATTAAATACTAATTATTCAATCTTTTTTTTAGGACGGTACAGCGCCATCTGTTGTCTGCTTTTATCGAATAAGAGGAGGGCTATGATTGGTTTGGTTTGAATTTCACGCAAAGCTACACGAGGACTATCACGCTAGCCGTCCCCAGTGAAAGACTAGAGGGAAGGCAGCTAGTCATCACCACCCACCGCCAACTCTTGGGTTACTCTTTTACCAACGAATATTGGGATTGACCGTCACACTATAACACCCCCATGCCTGAAAGGGTGAGCATGTTTGGTGTGACGGGGGATTCGAATCCGCGACCCTCAGATTGCGAGTCGAGCGCCCTAACCACCTGGCCATGCCGGGCCAGCCCCTGAATTCCAGCATCCAACATGCAATAGCAGCCTCTTCAGCTAAGGGTAAATCAGTATCATCTTCATTGAAACTGAATTATCATTCAACGTCAACCAGTGAAACTTCAGATCGATTATAATACACATATAGCATTACAATTTCCTCTTTTATGTATATTGAGTATTAAAATACAATACGCGCCAGAAGAATGTTACTTTTCTTAGCTGTTCAGTACGGATACATAAATGGGAAATCTTGTGGATCTAGCTAACTAATTTGAGGACTATAATCCAACTACTTACACACGTGGTAAATCAATACATTAGAATCCAACTACTTACACACGTGGTAAATCAATACATTAGAATCCAACTACTTACACATGTGGTAAATCAACACAGTAGAATCCAACTACTTACATACGTGGTAAATCAATACATTAGAATCCAACTACTT